AACGCCTAGACATACCTCTCATCTAACTTCCGAATTACTTCGTTAATTACCAAATTACTTTAGTATGTTGTAGAGCCAAAGGTGTAGTTTCTAAATTTTTATACCATAACCCCTGCGGTTTTGTGCTCGTGGCTGCGGATCCGTTTTTGTGAATGAGAACGTTACGCTAATATGTAGAACATATTGTGTAACATTTTGGTCGATCATCCAATCAGATTTAAAGCCCGCTTTGCCCCTAAATGCATATTCCCTATAAAGACCTCTCTAAATGCATGGCCTTTTTAGTCCCAACTCATATGACACTTATAGATTTTTATGCAACACCTCTCTAAATGCAAACTTTTTGGCCGCCTCATGGCATGCATTTAGAGAGGCTGTATTTTTTATTTTATTTATTACCGTTTCTAGTTATTCATTGATGAATAGAATTCAAAAAGACACATGTCGATTTTGACATATGATCAATAAACAACACATAACAGTATCACTTTTAAGTTTAATAATCTTATATATGATTTGTTCAAAATTTATTTCTTATATTAAAAATTGTTTATTTTGCTAATGAAAATTTCGTCATTAGGGGGTTTCAAAGTTAAAATCAGAGAATCTTATTTTATTTTTCTGATTTATAATTCAACATAATAAAAATGCTATTGAAAAATCTTATTTATTTTCGAAATGCGTCACTTATTTGTTAACTTTGAGACCCCCATTAGTGTATTGTATGCTAAAATTTCCATTCGATAAATAATTTTGTTTCATATGATTATTATTTGACACCCGCAGAATTATAAATCGCATGTTTACTTTTCGAAACTTATAGAGTTGGATAATAATCAACTTTCCATAAAAGCTTAAATTTTTATTACAAGATTACAGAAATTCAGTATTTTACCAGAAAATAGTTCAAGTTCTAACATAATAATAAAGTATTAAATTCAAATCTATGTCATCAAATTGTAATGACGCTAATGCTATGCCTAATAAACAGAATGTAGAATAGCAACGTAACTGCGAATCAAATCTCAAGTTGTATGTGGTTCAGTTTAGAGTTACAGGTGAAACTAATTAATTTGACCAGTTGAAACACTAGATAAAATCGCCTTTCTGTATACAGAATCTCAATATACTAAACTCTTATTATAACAAATAAAACGAATAATATTTACTTTTTTTGTTTGTCATATATACAAGAGATTGGTATATTGACATTCTATATAGAGAAAGGCGATTTTATCTAGTACAAACTAGTTTCACCAGTACCACTAGTATCACTCATCAGTTTCACCAGGATTAACAGTTTCACCAATATCACCAATGGATTGGTAAAATTGGTGCGCCTCTGTAATTTAATTTCTACTACTGTACACACTAAAAATTATCGTATACTGTAGTATCGACTAAAAGGTTCCTCTATTACAGCTATTTTCATTATTTTTGAAGGGAGTGCTGATTCATAAACCGAAATCATATCAATGAGTACATGTAAGCTACTGCACACAAAAATTATCGTACAGCATCGACTAAAAGACTCCTCGATTACAGCTATTTTCAGTATTCCTGAGATAACAAAAAATTGCCGATACAGATCCGACATCGGCCGACATTAGATACTTATCGATTCGGCTATCAATATTTTTTCAGTTGTCACAGGAATATTGAAAACAGCCGTAATTGTAAGCAAGTTTTTAAAATAAAAAATATGCTTGCACTTGAATTTATAAGGTATTATTATTCTGTGCAATATATTAAAATTTTTAGGTAGATATTTGTTTTCGATCCGGGCACTTTAATCAATGTGATACGATATTTTTAATTATTTATATAGTTTAATGTGATAATTGCTTATTATAATTTTAAATATTAGTTATTGAATATGCGAAAAAATTAGAAACAAGTTGCACTGTGAAACATTTCGATTATTCACAGTTTAGTGACTGCAAACTCATTGGGAGAGGAGGATACTCTGTTGTATATTCGGCCATTTTTGAAGGACAAATATACGCAATAAAAAGTCTAAAAAATAATCTGAATTTTGATGATAAAATATTCAAAAACATTCAAAGAGAAGTAATGTGTATTATTCATATTTTTCGTTTGATTTCTTAATATTCCTGTTTACTTATCAACATATACTATGTTTAGCTTGAACTTCATCACACAGTCGATCATCCTAACATCATAAAATTCTACGGCATTTCAAGAGGTATAAGTTTAAAGAAAATATTCTGCATACTTAAATAATATCATATTCTAATTCATTTTTGAATACTAGATGAGAAAACAGAAAACTTTATGTTAATGTTACAATATGCTAATTGTGGTAACCTGCGGGAACATTTAAGAGGAAAACAAAAGGAGGGCATCTATAAAATATTATGGCCTGAACTCATCCGGATTGCAATAGAAATTGCACTTGGATTAGACCACTTGCATGGCAAAAATATAATTCATAGAGATCTAGTTAGTTTATTTCTTTTATATTTTGACTTCTAATTTCTGTAAACTTTAATCATTTTAAAATTTTTACATAAAACCTCTAGCATTCTCTTAATGTTTTGATACACGATGGCAGGGCCATGATTACAAATTTTGGTTTATCAAAACAATCAGATGGTTCTGCATCTACTTCAAGCTCTGGTGTGAAAGGTATGTCGGCATATATTGAACCACAATATTATATTCAGATGGGGAAGAAAGTTGAACGTGATAAAAAATCCGATATATATAGTTTGGGCGTATTATTTTGGGAACTAACGAGTGGAGTTCCTCCATTTAATGGATTAAATGATGTAGCTATAATTTTTAAAATTTCAAACAATGAAAGAGAAAAAACAATTATCGGTACACCCCCTGATTATGCCAATCTCTTCATAAAATGTTGGTCATCTGAACCGTATCAACGGCCGACATTGAACGAAATTTTGCTTGAACTTGAGAGATTATCAAAAGAAAAGGATTCAGAATTCATAACAAATATTATTGATGATAAAAAAATTAATGAGGAGTTAAATTTTCAAGACGTAAACATAAAAAATGATGAGTATTCGAAATATAAGGATTCGTTATATCAATATGCAAACCAATTTATTAGTGAAAAAAAATCCACTTGATAAGATATAGCGAATTCAGACAACCAACAAACAAAACTGACGGACCTGACGAAACAAAGAAAATGTTATGGAACAATGAGCTAGTAAATTTATGCTTATTGGAAAATTATAGATGTGACAATAGTATCGTTGATGACAGTATCGTTACGAAGTTATTAAATGAGGTAAGTGCATACATACGTACGCATTGAAAGACGTTATTAAAAATTGAACTCGTTTTTATATTTTAGCTCAAACCATTTAAACATAATAACGTGTTAGAAGTTTTTGGCCTTACTTTTGGTTTGTGCATTTAAATAATTACAGAGATAAAATCAATGTTTTATGTGGGTGTTGTATTTTTATTATTAATATCACATAGTCTAAATAACACAATGGAATGTATTCCTTTGAAATCAGAAAAGACTCAGAAATTATTTTTATTATTACAATTACTTAATTTTTATTAAATTAATTAAATGGTAAAAAAACAATTTGGACACCTCGTTAAGCCTGGCGAAAAAACGAAATTACAAAAACGGCTGACACAAAAATGAAATTTTTCATATAATATTGTATATTTCTTCCTGCCCACATAAAACATCTATTTCAAATTAATTTTTATTTCGGCTCATAATTAATATTAATTCTTAGATGGCTACAGTTATTATTTTGTCCGTGGTTATTATACCATGGACTTACGATCTTATCTTAGTCAACTGCGCTCTAATGGTACTCCTCTAAGCTGGATCGATAAATTAACGCTGACTCAACAAGTAGTTGAAGGTCTGAAATATCTTCATGATCAAAATATTATACACCAAGAGCTGGTAAAAAAATTTAAAACTTTATTATGCTCATATTTTCGGCCAAAATTAACTTACAAATTTTTAGCACCCAAAAAATATAGTTATATATGAGGGGATTCCTAAATTAATTAATGTTTGGTTATCTCAAAAAACAACCGATTTTTCTATTTCGAAATTTTCACCTCCTGAAATTTTATTGTCTAATGATATTGAAAATAAAACAACAAAGCAAAACATTTATTCCTTAGGCGTTCAAATGTGGGAAATTTCGAGTGATGGTATTGAACCTTTCCATCAAAAGAATTCATTTAAATTAGTAATTGATATTATTAAAGGTCTTCGTGAGTCACCCATAAAAGGAACACCACGCAAATTTATTGAAATTTACCGTGAATGTTGGGATAATGATCCTGGTAAAATTCAAATTTGTTTATCATTTATTACTTTATTTATTATTAAATGAAATAATATTTAATTTTCAACTAGATATTCGACCCACTTGTAAAAAAATTCTCGATAAATTTAAAAACATATCACTTTCAGACTTATATCATGGGGAAAATGGTCAAAATACAGCTACTTTTTGGATGCCTAAACCTAAATCTAAAATTGACGACCTAGAATTCTCACCGGATTCAATGAAGTCACAAGCTTATTTTGTTAATTACTGTGGGAGAATATCTCGTATTCACTTGTGTATTTCTTATGGTCAGTCTCTTATTCAAAGTTGATTAACCGGCAGGTGTAATCGTTTATCAATAGAAATATTTGGAATTATTGATTTTCTTAACTGTGTTAATTTAGTTGATGAGTCAGCTATTCAAGTCGAGTTATCTGAGAAGCATTTCGATTATTTATTGATCGAATTATTTATTATTTTGTGCCGATTTATTATTACTTAAAGCGTCTTCTTATCCAAGTTGATTTAAATGGTAAATATACCAATCATTTATTATTTGAAGTATTTAAAAAATCGATTTTCTTATTAATTTTGTAATAATTTAATAACAGGGCAATTTCATTTAAGGTTTTGATTTAGCTGGCGAGTACACTAATCAATCATTAATTGAATATGAAAACTATTTTATTAATTTTTAATCGATTTAATTAACAAGGCTATTGAATAGTTTACAGTAAAATAAAATGCGTGGCGAATTCGCGCCACTCATCGCACTAACAATTGATTAATAGATTCGTCGGTTAATCAGTTAATTGTTTTTAAAAAATTCTTGGCCAACTAATCGAATGAATTTTTTGGTCCGATTTGGTGCACTACAGCAGACCTGGCGGATTTTTCATGGCAGCCTAGCACAAATACATGGTTATATACGATATTCATATTCTTTCTGGACAGTAAACAAAAAAACACCTTTTAAAATGTTATCAATGACAGAAAGTAATTAATGCTTAGAATATTAACGTATAAATGGTTAAAAAACAATACAAATCCCATATTTAATATCATAATGCTAGTAATATTAATACATTTGAATGAGGCATGACATAAGAAATTCATGCAAATAATTCGTTAATTATTTTAATTATTAAAAAAAAAAATTATAAATTATCATTATCATTATTGCATTAACTAAAAATCGATATGGCGTTCTTTGCAATAATCTATAGTCTTTTGATGTTTGTTTTTGGCAGCTTTAATCATCCATTTCTCCCCTTCAATCTTTTCGTCGTCATTTCCATTCAATATCAATATGATTCCCAAATTATACATTGCACTATAATTATTATTCGCTGCAACTAATCTAAAATAATGCGTAGCCTTCCTCTTATCTTGGAGGACACCTTTTCCTGAATAAAGACTAAAACCATACCTTAGCTGTGCTTCTGGATATCCAGAATCTGCAGATTTTTGATAGAGCATCATTGCGGCTTGTAAGCTTATGCCAGCTCCTACGGCAAACTCATCTATAGCTTCTTCGTAAAATCTTCTCCTAAAAAGGTCAGGAGCTGTTAAAATGTCATATTGAAGGTAAAATCCAATCCAATAAAGTGCAATATGATCTCCTCTCTTAGCATAGTTTATGAAGGTCCTCCATGCTTCAAGTAAATCACCATCTTCTAAATTATGTTGTTTAATTGCTTCTTCTAACGTCAGTCGAGGTTGCTGGTCAACATCATCCTCTCCTAGACGTTCCATGCTGTCATCGAGGTAATCACCAAATGAATTCCAAGAATGTATTTGAGAATTATTACCTTCACTAGTAATTGTTACGGGGTGAATTGTATCCTTTTGTTAATGTTTACACGAAAATATAAGATTTTATGATATAAGGCAACTCGCCAGAGGCGTGACGTTGGTGATTTGTCAAT